TTGGCAGCATCCGGGTTCGGATTTGCCTGTCACTGTGGCCAGCCACAGGACGCCTGCGCCTACAGAGGGACCATGGATGGCTTGCGCTGCACCACCCACAACTCCATCCACACACCCCATATCCAGTGTAAACCCGAAGGAATAAGACCGGGAGGCATGTGGATGAGAGCAACGTTTCATCAATGGAGCCGGTCCACACTGCTTCACAGGCAAACACAATCGCGCTGTATTTGCGGAATCAAGCGCACACAGGGCGGTGGCTGGACACTAGTCCGCTCCACACTGAGTGCACTGAACCACTCGAGCCTGGCACGACCACAAGGATCGTGCACCCCGTCCCCTCCAGCAACGACCAGCTATCTCCTGGAGTCAGTATGGACGAGGTAGTGGGTAATAGACAGGTCAATATGCATATTAAGGGCAGCCACACCGGGGATATCAAGCAACAGCCAATCACTTGTGTGAAAGATAAGAAATAAAATAAATCGAGTAATGCATAGAGATACGGCGACATAAACCTTAAAATGATGAGCATATTAAATAAGTTGTCTACAAACGAATCCGAGATTCGTTTACAAGGTCGGAAAGTATATTTTACGGAAATGCCACAAACACGAGAGTGTTATAGAAATTAATTACCATTGGCTTAAGCGGCCTGTGCAAGTTTATGGTAGATAGGTAGGCATTTATATGAGAAAGAAAAGCATTAGGACAAAATTGAAAACTTATCACCTGAAATAAAGAGACTTAGCATGCAAGCACACGGTTAGTAAATTGAATGCAGCGTACCTCAAACTCTGCGCCGGTTCTGCCTACGTTCTCTGCGGGACACGTCGTCGTTTCGGTAGTGGTCCCGAGTGGCCTCGCTCATGGCTCACTAAGCCTGCCTGACTCAGGCATTCGCGACCTCATGTGCTACAGCACCATGCACTTGAGGTCGATGGAGAACATCCCATCGGCGCTTGCCGCTTCCGCACTTGCCGCTTCTTGTCTGCATGCATGAGGGCTTTCTCCTGTACCTCGGCAACTGCCTTCGTGATCAGATCGCACCATGCACGCCGATCAACAGCCTTCGATTCCCATGACCTGCAATCAAGATTATAACGTGAGAGGTTCACTTTGATCATGTCCTGGTAAGGTAACTTTAGTTTCCCCACATGCGGCTTCAGAATACTCAGCTCGCCATATAAGAGTTGTTTCGGTATCCGCGTTGAATCCATACGGCTCACATGACCGAGCCACCTCAGTTGTCTCAGCAAAAGTATTCAGTCCACTGCATACATCCCACTTCGGCGCAACACTTCCGTGTCCGCAACTCTGTCCTCCCATCTGATGCGCAGAATCCGTCGCAAACACTGCTGATGGAACCGCTTGAGATATCGCACATCCCACTGGTACATCATGCACGTTTCAACGCTGTATAGAAGAACGGACAGCACCATGGATTTGTACACCATCAGCTTCGTGCCTATGGTAAGCTGATGGTTGTCCCACACTCGGTACTCTAACTTCCCGAATGCCATCGCTGCCTTCAAGACGCGGATACGCGGTTCACTGTGTACCTGTTGGTCAGTCGACATCACACTCCCAAGGTAGCAGAAGCGGGAGGTGGTTTCTAATGCTTCAGCACCAATGCTGATTCGCGGCAATATTGAAGATTGCACCTCCGGTGAAAGCTGAAAGAGGTCGACAGTTTTGCTTGTGTTGATGGTGAGCCAGAATTTTGCGGCTGTGGAAGCCAGAGCATTACTCATGTGCTGCAGCTCATCCGCGCTGTGTGCACACAACGCACAGTCGTCAGCAAACAGCAACATACGGATAGTTGTCTCACAGACTAGAGTTCTCGCACCGAAAAGACGGATGTTCAGCATCCCACCATCAATACGGTGCTCCACACGAACACCATAAGCACAAGTCGCATCAAAATCACAAGACATGTTTGCAGGAAGATGTATATCAAACAGGGCAGAAGCCAAGACACAGGCTTGCTTTACACCATTGACAACTAAAAAGTCATCTGAGGTCTCTCCACTCAGATACACCTTCGCTCGCATACCAGTGTGCATACATACAGTTAAACTTACAAACTTACGCGGGCAACCAAACTTACCCAACACCAGCCACAATGCCTCGCGGTTCACCGTATCAAATGCCTTGTTGAAATCAACAAAAAGCGAGTACAAAGGCTGGTATCGTTCCCTGCACTTCTCCTCCAACTGACGAGCCGCATACACGAAATCTTTAGTGCTACGACCCGAACGGAATCCACACTGCTCTTCCACCACGTTAGGTTCCACAACCTGACTGACGAGGCGGTTGAGCAGGATCCGGGCAATCACCTTGCCAGCACAATTCAGCAAGTTGATGGCACGGTAATTCTTGAAACATTGGTTGCTACCTTTGCCCTTGTACAGTGGTAGCACAAGGGAATCCTTCAGCTCAGCAGGCACCTCCTCCTCAATCCACACGCGTTGCACCGAGTAGTGCAGCGCAGTCAACAACGCGATTCCGCCGAGTTTCAATACTTCAGGCGAGATCCCGTCGGCCCCAGCACACTTGACGTTTCGCAGCTGAGCAACTGATCTCTGCGTCTCATCCAGTGTCATTGTGTCTGCCAGACTCTTCTTAACGTCGTGCTGCTTGATAACGTTCAAAGTAGGCCAGTCAATCACTGAACGGTTGTTCAAGAGACAGTCGAAGTGTTTTCGCCAAATCTGCACTATGTCTTCAGTTTGCATGCAGCTAACGCCTGAACTACCATCGATCAGCGTCCTCAGCGGCTCCAATCTCGGTCCATATACCACCTTCAAGGAGTCAAAGAATTCCTTGTGTTGGTGGCGTTTCGCGTAGCATTCCATCTGCTTCGCCTTCTCCGTCCATCATACATTTTTTAATGCGACGGAGCTCTTGGGTCAGTCGCCGTCGAACTTTACGGAACTGACTCTTCTTCCCCAAGTCACTGAGATCTGCCACATGTTTAGCAAATGCTGCATTCTCCCCCGACACCAATGCGCCAACCGTCGCATGGTTCTTATCAAACCAATCAGGCCACTTACACTTTGCGCGCCGGATGGTCTCCTCGGGAACAGCTGTCACCTGGTCGCGAATGTGGTGCCGCAGGTCGCCTACTGTTTCTATGCATACCACATCACGCATTCGTGCAGCCATCGCCTTCTCCAGCTCAGTACATTTGGCCCCAGTCCCGAGGGAGAGAATGTTAAATTTACACCGATTCACGGCGGGTGTGCAATACATTGATCTGCGAAAATATATGTACAGTTTTGTGCGCACCAATTTGTGATCAATGCCACACTCAGCTACACTCAGTACACGTGTCTTACTCACTTCACGCGTATCACGCTGACCTACGATGACATAGTCGAGCAGGTGAGCGTGACCACTCTGTGGGTGCGTCCAAGTTGCTATATCACTCGCACTCAGTGCAAACCGCGTGTTCGTGATGGTCATTCCGTGAGTGGCACACAGTGAGAGCAGCCTGTTACCGTTCGCGTTCGCTGAACCAATGCCATGCGAACGGATAACATCTGTCCACGCTGATGCATCACGCCCAATGCTCGCGTTGAAATCACCCATCAGAAATAGTCGGTCGCTCCACGGCACAGACCGTATCACGGAGGATAGCTCAGTGTAGAATTGATCACGGTGTCATCAGAATTACACATGGTCGGACCGTACGTGTTTATAAAAGTGGCAAACTTACCTCTTCCGAGTCGTAGGCGATGCCTGTGTGTTCACCCACCAGGTGGCCATGGAGGCGACCGGATATTGCAAATCCGACCCCATGATCACGTGGTGCTGAGGCGGCTTTGCCCGCCCAGTAGAATGTGTAGCCAGCACCTGCTTCATGCAACTTAGCTTGCTCAGCGAGCCGAGTTTCACTGAGCGCCGCAATATCGATGTGGTAGCGCGCCAGTTCCATTGCGACCAGTGCAGTGCGTCGCTCCAGGCGCTCGCTGGAGTTCCGGTCCAGTAGTGTGCGCACGTTCCAGCACCCGATGCTGAGTGCTTTGCGCGCAGGCATACGATTGCATTGGTGGGCAATCGCACTCGAGGTGGTCGTTGTGCTTCGGAGGTTTGCCTAAGGGACTCCACCCGGAGCCTTTGGCTCAATAGCCTGACCCACAAGGCAGTGGAGAGCAGATCCAGCTCGGGAATGTGATTGCAGAGACAGATTGGGATCTGCTTGACGGCCGTCACACGCAGACTTTGAGGTTCTGGAACAGTTATCATATGTTTTACGACCGTAATTGGATACGCACCTGCGACCACGGCCAGACGCAGGTGGGTTTTTGGCGGGTTTGCACCTATTTGACCAGGGGCTGCCTGGCTTGAGGCGGGCAGTAGCAAACCATTGAACACCCGGAGGTGTCCTCCCACCGTCAGAGACAATGCGTGGCACTCGTGCTCTACGCCAATCGAGCATTGAGAATATCACCCGTAACCTGTTGTCTCCCATGGCTAGGTTTTACGGGAAGTGGGCCATCGACCACTTCCTAACCTCCGGAGAGGATGGACTAGGATACTAGTAGGGCGCACACACCTAATAGGAGAACGACTCGGGTCCTCAACCAAAGGATTCGATCAAATGTACGCCCGAAAGGCAGCGGGTCTAGCACATTGTCAGTTCACTGACTCATGCCGATTGGTGTCCTGGATCTTAGCAAGGAGAAGGGCCAGACCCAACTCCCACCCAGCGGTCGCCACGTGGAGGCGTCCAGGACATGAGCCAATGGCACAACAGTAGCAGCAGTTTGTAGGTCATCTGTCAGAATCTAGCCACTACCAGCCTCAGCGCACCATAGGCTCTCCCGCCATATATACATACATATATATATATATATGTTTTGTAAACTTTATTTCATTCCGGAATCATATCATTCGGTGTTTGTCAGATCCCGCGTGCAATGCCTAAGCTATCCGCAACCATTCGACAATGCTCACTTCTCACCAAATGTCTCCTTGTCTATCCTTGGCTTCAGGTTACCGGACAGCGCAGCATCGGACATCATATGGGTGCACTGCAGACAGGCCAGATTTATTCTGGGGGTGAGTTCACAGCTGCTTACACACGTTGTGTCTCATACTTTTGATCCTGCTTGGTAGACCTTTGTCTCAGTCTAACTTGGCCATTGTCATTGTATGCTCTGTGTAGCTGCTTTGACTCCTAACTGCTAGTTGATGGTCTCATCATGAATGCGTATATGAGAGAGGAAGTGTCTTGGCCTCAGTTTGGCAACTTCTGTGCCTCAACTATTGTCACATTGAGGTTCCTCTCTCCGTCACAAGACTTAGGGTTTATATCTTTAGTTTTCTACATTTCGCCATTCTTTCTTACTGAATTGAAAACTCTGAACAACCAGGTGACTTTTTGAATCTGTTTGGTCTTCACATGTGACCCGATTAGAGATTTCCGAATGTTCATTACGCAATGTCAAGTTTCTATCATTAAGTCCAAGGATACTGGAACTACAGAGAACAGATTGAGACAAACTGGTTAAGTTATTTGGTACAAGACACCACATTTGTAACGGCATCGAGTATTTATAGTCTGGGGCTCCACTAACTTCTTTACCCCAACTCTCATTGAATTTATGTCCGTTGACTTGTCCGGCGCTATGGGCACATCAGTGCCACTTAGCATTTTGTTAAGATTTTTATGCCTCAGTATCATCTGTACATTTGTGATAACATTAGACACGGGCGCCCATTTTTACTTGCAAATATCATAAACTAGTGTACTCGTGTACACTTGAGAGTATCTTATTATTATCATCATTATTCTTACTATTTTTACCTGACCACCTGGAACTATGCATACATATATACGCGAAGGCCAATCATCCCTAAACAAGTGGAGCGATAGCAGGTCTATGAGGTTCTCGGCAGATAACTCTTTGGTACAGATGCAGTACACCAGAATGATCCATTACTCTTACTGGTACCCCCATCCCAACTGCGTATTCCACTCGGCACCTTGGAATTCGATATTTAAGCAGCTTCAGCTTCTCCGAACACACCAAATAGCCGAATCAACGCAACTAACAAGCTATATCACTAGGTCATTTTCACTACCACACACGGCTTAAATCAAACAAACTCATTGTGCGACCCACTCCAGAGTACTGCACCATCATACATAGCCACATACGCAAACAACTAAAACATTCAGCGCTTGTTTATCAAAATGCTCATGGGGCGCTCATCAACAACTATTAGGAACGACATTCTTACCTCCAGCTTGACCTGTTATGGTTTGGACGACTGAAAAGCATTCATTCTTCTCTACGGTATGACATGTTGGTGAGTCTTAGCAACCAGTACGGCTGTTGATTTATGAAATGGTTCAACCTGTTCCACTTGTGATGGGAAATGTCTACTGTAGTTACAGAAAACTGAGCAAAATATCAGATTAAATTTCTCCTTGGTGTAGTACGCCCATCTGTGGGATAAACTACGGTTGCAACTAAGGGCCAGTAAGAGCCTGTTTATATTTAGGTTTCATTTGAAAAAACTTTTATTTACATGCCAAATGTGAGCAAACTTTTTGACATTCAGCAGTCTACAAGTACACTCATAGAATCTAACCGGAAAAAAACATATTACAAAACTAAATTTACAATAATGTTACTTACTACATACTTCATAAAACGGTGCACCACTGATCCATATTAAATGTTGACGAAACTGGCTGTACACTAATCATTTCACAAAAGGGAACGTATCCCGACCGTCGGGCAATATACCCATTTATTTTTCTCTGGGACGCCAGCTGACTTACGACTGCACTCCACCTACGATGGGAGAGTGAATTCGGTCACATGTCTTTTATCTGACAGGGGTGAATTGGCAACGGTTACACCACTTGTTCGATCAGGTATAAGTATTTTATTCGGACCATTTGTGATGCGCACACCTGCATCCGTACAGCGTATTTCATCTGTGCTACTACGACTGGAAACTGCTACCCAACACGCGTCATGACATCAGCGCAGACAGGTGTTGTGAGGGGTCCACTTCGGCACAGTTCAACCATTACTCCTGTAGGTACCGCGGATGTTTGGGAGGGGGTTATTCAAGCAACCGGCATGTGGCCAATCTGCGCACGCGCTCGCCCACTCCACAGACTCTATGGTTACCACTGTCTGCACTATCCGCTTTCCAAATGCTCACTTGTACACCAACGGTGTATCGGATGAGACCAGTGCTTAGTCTGGCAAGCAATCTCAACTGAGGCTACGTATCACACTCCTGCTGCCCGTATTCCCGCATTTTTCCGACATGTTGGCTGGCCATAACGGCGGATGGTCCTTACTCAGTGATTCCGACCCTCACTCTCATAAAGCTCGCGGTTCCCTCAACAGGATATGGATAGGAATACAGCGCGGTCCAAGGAGGTCTGACGCCATGGTATATAACAAGCGAGCGAAAAGTGGATGATAGATGACTGTGGATAACGACGCAAGCAATCGGTTCGAGGTCAAATCAACCCAACTAACCAAAAGGCAATTGGAGTCACTAATTTGAAGTTTGCTTGCCATAAATCTCTATACCATCATTCGTGTCTATCGGCACCTTTGCATTCGCAAAACAATTTGCTATTTCAACGTGGAAACTATTATCGCAACCACATATCATGTCTTGGATCTCATGAATCTACTTACTTGATCAATCTGAAATCGTCGCATATCTGCTTGTGCAAAATCGACCTTGCCATCTTCGGTGTGCCACGTGTAACATCGAGAATATACATTTTTATTTTGTTCTATTTTATTCACCCACAAAAAGTACTTCAATCAAACAAACAAGGATTCATTAGCCGCTGCGGCAAGCGTTACCCACGGTACTCGGTGGTGCTATCTCTGAGCTCGATCCGTTGCCGGGCTCGCTCTACGTGAAATGTGGAAACAAGTACGAATTCATTCGTAGAGTTCAGAATTGCGAGCATACATCATCTAATGTATCTTGTTGATCCAGGTACGGTCCCATTGACCATGTATATTGAGATCACATATCGCGATCCGATCACCATGCCGAGTGCTTTAAAGTGCACACGGTAGTTTGCGCCTGACAGTTGTCAAGTGCAACTCCACAACGTTTGCTAGCAACCACCAATCGGTGGGCTCCAGTATAAAGTATACAACGCGCCCCACCACGTGTGCACAGTAAATCACAAGCACCTTCATTCAGGGGTGAGAGCATGCTCTTGATGCTCGCGTTACCATATTTATACATGTACGCGTTGACACGGACCATCATCATCCTTGTACACGTCAGCTGCAGGTGGAAAACACCTCAGCTCCGTAATACAAAAGAACAAAAAGTGAAACAGAGACACGCTGGCTGAGTCACCAGGAACGGATGGACATCGTTCCGGAGAGCTAACAGTCGGCTATTGTGCCGCAAAAAGGAGGTATATTATCTCAAATAGATGAGTTCGTGGTTGCAGGGGAAGGCTAAGCGGGAGGAGGGCAAAGAAACTCACAACACAAACGGTATTGTGGTCGGCTCCCAGTCATGTCAACAAGTGTATCCAGCCAAACGTGTTCATCGTCCTTCGTTCCCCAACCAGGGAGCCGAGAGGCTCCAACAGAAGTAAGGGCCTTCATTTCTCTTGACCAAGTCATCGCTTGAACACCTCTTCTTCCATCCACAACCCTTGCGTGCAAACAATGCATGTCGCGGTAGTCGGTGAGCTGGCATGCGCAACATGTGGCCCAGCCATCGGAGCCTAGTGCGTGAAATGACGGTGCTGAGCGGTTCGCTTCTTTTACCTATGCCATAAACGAGGCCTCGAACACGCCCACCAGATAGTAACCAAACTGCGAAGACACTGGTGGTCGAACGTAACTAGCCTCTTTGTGTCGGCTGATCTAATGGGCCAGTTTTCGCAACCGTACAGTAGGGTCGAGTGTACGGCTGCATTGTACACTCTACCCTTCAGGTAGTCAGTGATGTAGCGCCGGCGCCATAGTTGGCGAAGCTTAGAAAAAGCGCCACGTGCTTTTTCTATACGGTTTGTGATCTCGTCTAAAATTCCAGCGGCGCTGACGCAACTACCTAGGTAGTTGAACTTTTGATTGACTTCTAGCTGATTCTCACCAAAGGTCAGTGAAGGAGGCTGTCACTGCCCATCTTGGAGGAAAGCTTTGTACTGCGAAGCAGCATAGCATAGCCCGAAACAGGTGACAGCGAGTGCTACTGTGTCCAGTGCCGTTTGACACGTTTGGGAGCTGTCACAGATTGGGGCAATATCTTCAGCATACTCCAAGTCAAGAAGTTGTTCACCTGGGAGCAGCTCCACACATTCTAAGCGTGTTCTGTAAACGCGATTTCCATAACTTCACCAATAGCGAAGTTGCAGAGGAAAGGTGACAGCGGGCATCCTTGTCTTACACGCTGGAGATATTGAAGGGCGGCGACAGCTTGCCGTAAGCCCTCACTCTGCCGTAGCTAAGCTCGTAAAGCGCTTAACAATATTTACATGCTTCTCAGGTACGCCTTTCCTTAGCAGACAGTCCCAAAGGGCACGTCGGTCCACCGAATCGAATGCGCCTTTGATATCGAGAAACACGACAAAGGTGGGACGCCAATGTATGTGACTGTGCTCCAACAACTGACGCAAAGGGAAGATGTGGTCGATGCATTCCCGACCACGACGAAACTTGGTTCTGCTCCTCACTTGTCTGGCTTCTACGATCACCAATCATTCTGTGAAGGATTACGTAGGCAATTAATTTTGAGCTGATGGGGATCGGATGGATTGCTCTATGGTTAACGCATTCCGAATGCGAGCCTCGTTTGCAGATCTGGACAATAACGGAGCAGCTCCAGTCGGTTGGGACAGTTTCCTGCTCCCACAGTTTCACTAGTAATTCGTGTAAATCATCAACAAGAGCAGGGCTTCCGAATTTGAAGAAAGCTGGAGATAAATCATCTGATCCTGCGGCTTTATTTTACTTCAACAGTCCGAAATCATGTTCGACTTCTGAGCGAGAGGGCGGATCCAAAGGGACAGTCCACGGAGCAGAGCGATCACTGGCCTGTGAGAAATTCGACAATTCCGACCAATTAAATTGACTTTCAAAATGCTCAGCGCAACGCTGCATACCTTTTGACAACTTGTGCATAGCCTGTCCACTCTCGTCACGTAAAGTTTCACTAACACCAGATCAGACGGAACAACTTCCGATGGTTTTCCAAGAGCAGTGTCCACTTCCATCTCTAACGCACCTTGAGACCACCAGGATTCGCGGTCTGTCTTCAGGCTAGCACGTAGTTTTGCCCTGAGGTCTTTGCGAGTTTCATTATGTTCGCTTCCAGCCGGAATCTGCATCGATAACTTCCAGAGACTGTGAAGAGACCCAATGTCTATTTTGGCTAGTGGATTTACCACATGCTGATTTACCTGTTGTTAGTAAGGTCTGGTGAACATGCGATCATATCGTATTCAGTGCGCACTTGCTCAACCTGAAAGCCAGCGTACTTCGATACACATTTAGAACACCTTGCTTCGCCAGTTGGCTGGTGTCAATGCGCTCACAGAGTCGTCGAGAGCGACCGCCAAAACGCACCCGAAGATCAGCACATACAAGTACATCATCAGTGTCCACACATGTGCTCCAAATCGAGCGACAATTTTGGACGCAGCGTCTCCAGCGGTAAGTAGTGGCAACGTGATCGATTTGTGTCCGTAGCTTGTTCGACGCTGGTGGGCGCCATGTCACCCTCCGGCGAATGCTGTGTCGGATGTTACTGCTCGCGAGAAATAGACTAGCATTTTCACAGAAATGAATTAACCGCTCACAATTATCCTTACACGGTAGCCTACACCATGTTGATCGCCCAGATGCAGCTGATCAGTGGACAATTTTCCAGTTTGAGCGTTCAGATCCCCAGCCAGCACTACAGTGTCCGAGCTTCTTCTTTGGCGTAGGAGCTCATTCATTTGACCATAGAATTCATCTTTTACCGTGTCGTCGCTACATTTTGTGGGGGCGAAGGCAGCGATGACATGGACCACATTGTCGTTGCTCATTCTGCTTTCGATCGACTATCCTACACTGTTGTCTCTATGCAGGAGTTTTGCTTTTTAATCCACTGAGCTTTCCGACGCTCTTGTTGACCTATTAACTAATGTTTTCGATCCAGACTACCGAATTCAATGAAAATAAGAACCCTAAAAAACTTCATGGGCTACTTTTATCTTGCGGCTGCTCAGCTTTGAGCAGCAGACAACGCCTCACACTTTGAAGTACGAAGTGTTTTTCTATGCGTCTCTTCGCTAGCTGTGTTCCTCCACTGGTGTACTGTTATCTTGTTCCCTCATGTCATACACATATGCATCCATAACTCGCATTAAAGGACAGTGCAAGCGAGACTCCCTCCTCTACTCTTAGCCAATTTGTCCGCTGACGACATCCATCTTCAGTTGTTATGATGATCAGTGTCCATCAATTACGTTGAACACGCTCTCGACCTACCACATGGTTCTTTTTTCACCGCTTTCTTGAAAGAATGGTGAGAGGACCATGCAAGCTCATCCATTGGCGTTGCAGCCCGACTTTCGATTGCTCTTAGCTAGTCAAGATGCAAGCATAGCTTGCTTTTTGTCTCGACGTAACTGGAATATCCTTATTTCATTTTTTTATTTATATTCAAGGGTCTTGTGAAGTGTTCTCTAACCTGATCGGAGCCAGAGGAAAGGATGTTTTATACGTTGGCGATCACATTTTTGGTGATATTTTGAAGTCAAAGAAGACTGTTGGGTGGCGAACTTACCTTGTCATCCCAGAGTTGGCCAACGAGATATATGTGTGGAAAAAGAAGAAAGCACTGTTTGACCGTCTTCAGGAATTGGATAACTGCCTCGAAAACAGTTACAGGTAGGCGAACCTATGCTTTAGACCCCAGTCTTCAAAATCCACTCTCAAATTGCCATCCGGCGCTGGCGATTACGATTCTTTCTCCTTCTCTTCTTGCGCATACTTTTTCTATCATTACCGGCATGGATTCTACGACCGATGTTGTCGGTTAGCCTTATTTTTGCATAAACCCACGTTTGTTTTGCAGATTGCCACTTCCCCTTCACACACTTCTTTGCTCATTATTTAGTCGAAGTGTAGCTAGTTGCGGTGCTTATAGAACCCGTAAGGCCACTTGGGTCGCTGTCATATTCACGTATTTGGTGATTTCGCTAATGCGCATCGACAGTTGTTAAGTGCAGCACATTTTCCGCTCCACTGTTCACATCACTGCTATTTTCCAGCGCTTGCCAACGTTCATCAGATATCAGTTTGATTAGCAGCTGACCTAAGACATGGCGATTATGTGCCGGTCCCTTTGGCGAACTCTGCCGTTCACGAGTATCTGCACGTCACTCTGGGTCGTTTCAGGTCAGTTTCTTGGCGTGCTGCCGGCTATAAAGTTTTCCCCATTCTGAATTATGCGATTTCTGCAGCACAATCATAACATCCTAACTGCAGTGTGTATCGAGCTACTAACGCGCACGAACCACGGGCTTCTGGTGAAAAATTCTAAACATTTTCACAACTGATTCCTAGCAAGCACGCAGTTTTAAACATTCACCACAAATCAACACAACCTCGGTCGTGGCTGGTATAGCCTTGATGCGGCACACAAAGCATTTGCTTTAGAACTGCAGTGTCCAGTTGCCTTTTCCATCCAATGGATGACATGTGAAAATCGCCCATGTGTCATCCGCATGTATATCGATTGCAATTTGTTTGCAGCTATTTTACTCCAGCGGCTAAGTGATTCTCGTGAATCACCGATTGATCATATACTGATTCTCACCAGATCGGTGATTCACTGTGCAGCTATCCACTGGTTCGTCACCGCACATGATCTACCATGGTCCGTCCTGGTGTTCCTCCCCACTATTCAAGTTGTGTGGAGGTCATTAACTTGCTGCACCTATCTGACGCGTTAGTCTTATGAGTTTCGTCTCCTGGAACACGTGGCCTAGCTTGTTTAGCCCTTATTTTACCTTTCTGTTATTTTGCAATCAATGAGTGGCTATTACATCCAATCTTGATTGTCTAACATGGATATCCCGCTGGTTTCTATTCTTTCTCATTAGGGCATGTATGCAACCATGGATCCTAACACGGGGCCTTGGCCATCTCACTATTTATTTTGTCTTTTCATGTTGGGTGATACTGTTGCAGTAACTAACCGATTCACTGATGTGGATACGACATTACCCCAGTGGAGCGGTTGATCCGAGATCACTTTATGCATGCCTTCCGTGTACGTGACAATGCGATCGATGCTTCCTACCGGTCAACGTGGCGATACCCTAGGTATCGATCGTACGACGTACACGGATACTCTCTTTCCTATACGATATTTGCGGCTCCCAAACGATGTCGATTGGCTCGACACGCAAACTCTAGGGAACGATGTTTACTTCACTCCAAACTCCGGCTACCATCGAAAACAAGAGCAACCGGCTTGTGGCCGAATGGTTCCCGTTGCTGCCAGGTCACAGTTTCGAGTCGGAGGAGGCGCGGACGATTGCGCATTATCGCTAGCTCGCACGCGGTTTACTTGGGTCGAGTGACGGCGATGCACTGATGTTCTTTATTCTTTCCAACTGGAAACCTAATAGCTCTCTGATCTGTGTACTTACCAGATTGAAGCACGCCCAAATAGTTGTGCAGCAACTTTGCAGGATTCAAAACACGGTTGTTTGAACGGGGTGGAATCAACGGATTAGAAGCGGGCAAACGGTTGCCGGAATCTTCGCAGAGCAAAACGATAGGCAGGTATTCCGAACTTTAAATGCTGCAATAGGTTTTTGTCTTATAATCAGTGAATTAGGTCAGTTTTAGGAAGGGTGTGTACCTGACATCCATGCCATTCACTATCGAACAAGTGCTGCCTGTTGAACGATCTGTAGCAAAATGCGTACATTGAGGCATGCCAATCTGAGGGATGATCGAGGGTTCCAAATGGAAGTCGATTAACTGGAGTGGCCCGCTTGGTTGGACATGGGCTTGTCGACAGGGAGGAATGATGCTCCTCGTTTGCATGTGAGTTAAAACTAAAAACTAAACGCCTATCAAGGCAAGGTGAGAGAGGGCCAAGAATTTGGAGTTTGCAAACGGGGGTATGAAAGTGAAGTTGAAACAGGACGATAAGGGTAAAAAAAAGCGTAAGAAGGGGAATAAGAAGACGGGAACGCTTGAGCAGTAGCATCCAAACCCCTATCCATCCTGCTCGATGCAGCAGATAAGGTATCGTTGATTATCCTCTGCGGTGGCCAAAACACCCAGAAATTCTGATGGGTTCACAGTATTGCGTAGGCACGATACTGTCAGGTTGCCCAAACCTAGACAGTGGAACGATTAGGGTTCTCATCCAAAGCCATTCGTTCAAAAACCTGACCGCAAGGCATCGGGTTTGGCGGACAGCTTCAAGAAGTCCGTTTTAAAGAACAAGAAGCCACCTTCGTTCCAACCTCCTACCTGGAGAAGTAGGAGACTGAGTTTGTTAGGCCTGTAAGCATTGCCAAATCTGGTATGGGTAGCTCTGAAGGTGCAAAAAAGCACTCTCCAGCAGAGCCCGATGGGTCTCTGAGGCACGCAAACCATCACATCGCGGTAAGATCCAGTCTCATTGCTATGGCTTGGCTCACATCTGGTGGAAACACCACGTGAGCAATGAGCCTTTTCGACGCCTTGTTTTTGGCACTGGAAAGGGAAATGAACCGCTCAGGCCATTATTTCACGCACCAGGCTCCGATGGCTTGGCCAGGTGGTGTGCATGATAGCCCACGGAGTCACGCGACGTACGTTATTTGCGCGCCGGTGTATGGTTGGAAAAAGAGGAGGGTGGCCAAACGATGACTTGGTCAAGAGAAATGAAGGCCCTTACTTTTAAGTTAGCCACAGTTGGAGCCTCTCGGCTCCCTGGTTGGGGACCGATGGACGATGAACACATTTGGCTGGATAGTCTTGCTGACATGGGTAGGGGCCGACCTCAATGCCGTTCGTGCTGTGAGTCTCTTTTTCCCTTCCCATCCTTTTCCCCCTCCCCTTCCAATCAAGATATCATTTATTAGCATAGTTTATTTTTTGCATACTAAAGTTTTTTCTTCTTCGTGGTTGCCGGTTGGTTGCCTTCCGGTACTATGCCCATCCGTTACTCGTACCTCAGCTGATATGCATCTGCTGCATTATTCTCTTTTATGTGTTACGGCACAGTAGCTGAGGTGTCTTCCATCTCTAGCTAACCTGTATAATGTTGATGATTCGTGGTTGTTGATCAGCAGCTATGAGCGATCAACAAGCTTACCCACACACCTATCTCTATCAGTTTGTAAAGTCGTCCAACCTCAGTCGTAGACCCATCGATTCGACAGCGGGATGCCGCGTTGCATCGCACTATTACTTGACTGCCATATGTCAGAGAATACCTACCTCAGACTATCAGGGTGTAAGAACCGTCAACCAAGGCTAACAGTAGCATTGAGTGAGCCACACCCATTGAAGCTGGATGGCGCTCGGTAGCTCTCAGTTTGGCTGCAGGGCTACGTACTCCCCCACCGTACTGCCTTGATATGTCCTGTATACATAAATAAATAAATAAAATAAATTTGTATATTTACCGACGGACGGTACACGGCCCCATAAGTGGGAGCGATCATGTTTCGCAAGCGCATGGTATGACTAGGCGAGGAGGCATGTACAAGCTGACGGAAAGCTTGAGGCTCGCTGGGGTAATTCTTCTTTTGTTTAGAATCGTCGACATAATCACGCCGCTGCCTGGTACTGTGCATGTAAGATGTTATTTTGACCATCTTATACTTAGGCTTATCTTATCCCACTTGATAATTGGTACTCCGTTCCTTTTATTGCCCTCATTTGCCCAACTTTTTATATGGTTTTCGTTGTCTTTATCTTGCTCCCACCAACTTTTGCCGACACAGCAACTTGGTTTGTAACATCTGGATCCACCGCTGACGTGATTTTTGTATGGATTTGTGCATGCGCTCACACTGTGCGCCCGACCCCCCTCTCTCCGTACGGAGTCGCCTGCAAGTTTGTGACCTAGGATCGTCTTTTCTGCAACACTCGCTCACATGACACCACGGATTACTGGTCCCTGTTTCACTTATGAATGATCGAACGATATCGTTTACTATTCATGGATTCCACAAATGATAATCAATCAAGATTGATATTCGTTAACACGTTCGTCGCAATATTTTTGCGCACTTGGTGAATTTCAACGGACATTTCCAAGTTCCACGAGAGGCAACTTGGGTTCCCTGAAGCTACACAAGTGATTGATAGTCTCCAGTACTCACTCGTAGATTGCATACTTCTGATGACTGTGTGTCAGCCAAGCATAGTCCAATATGCAGCTTTATTTTACACTTCACTTTTCTGTAGTCTGAGTATGTTATTCCCATTCGCTATTGATTTCAGAGTTTGTCCCTGGTGCTAAATCGCTTGCGCATTGTATGATGGACGACTCCCGAACGTAACTGCGAAAGCAGTGTCTTCGGTCTTCTATCTCTTGGGGTGTGGCTGAACCGTTATCTTGACCACACCATGTACGGAGAATCAGTCGTTTCTATATCACTAGCTCTCCGACCATACGTCTCCAAGTATACTCTGTCCTGTCTAACTCATCACTAGTCAGACTAGTTGTTCTAGACTGAAAGCGTGAGAACGCATCCCTGGGACCTTTGCTGTCGACGTTGAAGTTAGTGTCAGTGCACATTCGAAGCATCTCCCCGCAGCTTAGTCATGTTGACAATTCGCCTCCCATAGCGTAGATTTGGTGCCGGAACTTGATACAGCCCAGTCACCGGCTGGAGGCATTAGACTTTCTGCGCACTTGCTTTTAACTC